AAAGCATCACCGTCCAGACAGCTTCGCGGAGTGGAAAACGGCGCGCATGCACGGTATGGTAGCATAACCCAAGCCCACCTCTGCCGGGTTTGTCATCACCAGAACACGATTTCTGCCCGTCCTCGCTCCCCTCCTCCGACTCCTTCAGCGCCAGCAGCAGCAGCTGTCGTCGCCATCTTCCCATACGCGCTAGCCAACTTCCCTACCGTACTTATGATATGGCAAACACAGTTAATTAAGCCTTGATAGTAACGCCTAGCCCTTGCGAACGCTGATCAAGTCCCGAAGTGCAAAATAGTGTTGAGTTTCTCTTGCGCAGCAGCGCAGCAACGCAGCAAGGACTATTTTCTATCGTGCCTTCGAGATCACAATCGTTAGTTAGCCTATCCCGTCCACCTGGGTCGGCTATGCAAGCGTTCCTGTCCAAGTGCAAGTGCAAGTGCAAGTGCAACGCCCACTACCCTAGTGCCCAGGCAGTCACAGTACAGTAGCAAGACAGCACCAGCGTGATCTCAGATTCGTGGAACCAGGACATCCCTCATCCCCAGCGTCGGCCACCGGCAGTGAAGCAGTGTGTAGTCTAGTCTACCGTAGATTCACCAACACCGGCGGGGAGGGGCGGGGGGCTTGCCAAGTCGCATCTCCCAAGACTCCGCTACAGTACAGACAGTACCCGTACCTACCTACCGTAGTCCTCGCCGAATCTGCGGAGAACTGCTTATATCAATATCGCGCTACACGCGCGCGCCACGCTGGTTTTTTTTTAGGGACGGCCTTCACATACGGTAGTAGTACATCTGGCATGCGAAACTCTCCCACCCACCCGTTTTTAACTTCGCGACATGCCGCGACCCAGGTCTACGTACGCATCGTGCATCTACCCGCTCGAGGCATCGTCGAGAAAAGGTAAGTAAGTACCTTAGGTAAGTGAGTGAGTGAGTGAGTGAGTGAGTGAGTGAGTGAGTGAGTGCCTACCTACCTACCTATCCTTCTCTCCTACCACTGGCGCGAGCGAGGAGCATCAACTCAACTCAACTCAACGCAACTCAGCTCAACTCACACATGCTCCGAACGAGTGCAGGAAGACGACCTGTGAGAAGGACCCACGGCAACACCTACCTGTGCGCAACGCAGTAGGACCACGACTTACTACGTACTACGTAGTATATTGACTTCCGGCTCCGATCAACCACGTTGAACTCGAACGATATCTTCTTGTTTGTTTTTCTTCTTCGCCTTCTTCTTTTCTTCTTTTTCCAGGGCGGGTTTCAGACCTCGTTTTACGCTAGCCTCGACACGAAGTATAATTGATGCTTGGAATCTGGAGTCCAGCCGGCTGGCGGGTGAGATACCTAGGTAATCAGCTCCTGATTCCCCATCACGCTCCGTGTATCTCTTCCTGGCGGAGTGGGTAGGTAGGGAACAATCAGTGCGCCCGCTGCCTGGTGACCGGCATGCAGCCTCTCTCTCTCTCGGTTACAGTCAACAGAAGCAAGCGGACGTCCTACCTCGTACAGTATTTTATTTCACCATCCCATCTCAATTCGTGCTGTAAACAACCCAGCAGCAAAGACAGCCGTCGTGATAATGATAAAAAAAAAAAAACTAGCCGCACGAATCGGCGCGATCGAGCTCCGTCAGACGGACAGAGGATCCGGTACC